TCCCCATCCTCTGACCTCCAGTCTGTAGGCTGTGAACTAGTAGTTTGCTGTATGACCTGCAGATTTTGAGATTCACGTTCCTGCAATCCTATAAAACAGCAGCCTGATGTATCACCTGTCAGTTTTGGGTTTATCAGCCTGTATCAGAAGAAGCCTTTAGCCAAATCCTCATGGATTTGGGACTTTCCAGCTTCTATAACTGTATGAACTATTTCCTTGAAATAAATCTCTCTGTAGATATTAATTAATGTGCACTGCCCTGGTTTTGCTCCTCTAGAGAAGCCAGCCTAAGACAAACTGGATCATTTATAGGAACAGAAGTTTATTGTTTCACAGTCTGGAGACTGAGTCTGAGATTAGGGTATGTTGATTCTTTCTGAGGTTTTAAGGGAGAAACTGTTACATGCCTCTCTTCCCATCTTCTGGTAGCTCCAGGCATCCTTGACTAGCAGGTGCAATGCCAATGATGTCTTTCCTCTGTCATTTTTTATATGGATCTTATTTTATAAGGAATATTGATTATTGGGTTAGGACCCACCCTACTCTGATATGACTTCCATGTAAGTGATAACCTTTTCTAAGACCTTGTTTCCAAACAAGGAGATGTTCAGTGGCACCAGAGGTTACAACTTCAAAATATCTCTTTGATGGACACAGTTTAATCCAGATCAGCACTCAATTCCCTCCAGAAGGAAATTCTGATTGAGGTTGTTGTTGTTGAGTGCTGTCCAGTCGGCTCCAACTGAAGCGACCCTGTATAGGGTTTCTGAGGAGCAGCTGGTGAGTTTGAACTGCTGACCTTGAGGTTCAAAGTCCAGTGCTGATCCACAGCGCCACAGCAGTAGCTATAGATAAACAGATACATGTATACATACAACTTAAGGACGATGGATACAGATCTAGGACAAAACTAACAGATGCAGAGGTGCAGCGACAAGGAGAGTGACTGATAAAACAAGCAGGGAGTGATGCGCATCCAGATCCAGGGTCGGGATTCTTGGTTGAGAAGAGGATAGGTAAGCTAGGTGCAGGATGGTGGGCTCTTGGCAATATCGGATGCGGAAGTTCTGATGAACTCTTCCTCAGCCAGCAGTTAGTCCTGCCCACACTCTCTGCTTCTCTTGCTGTCTGAGTCCTGTGAATCTCCAGGCTTCTTAAATTCCACACTGCCCTGTCCTGACAGCAAATACATTTTTCTTTTCTTTTGTTTATAAAGTTACTAAAAGAAAAATTGACAAATGAGTTCTGGATGGAATTGGTGAACACAAGGTCTGGGCTGTTTGGGCCATAAATTACTTTTGGAGTTTGCCTCCTGTGTGGCATGTTCTGGGGTCTCCCTGGGAGAGAGGCACAGGTCTTCTGCAGTTTATTTTCAGAGTGGTGGGTGGGGAGCATGAAGGGGGAAAACAGAAAGGGGTCTGTTGAGATATCGTGAGGTGCTCCATCAGAACATATAGGACAGTATAGAATAGTGTTGACAACAGCTAATATTTTAAAGTTATAAAGAGCCTTAACAAGTTTCTTCACTTTTCTCCTACTAACGGGAAAATCATACACGTCTTCAATCCCTACTTAAAACCTTTAGAGGCAGACATTTTTGGAATTCAATTTTTTTCCAAGTTTTAGAAAGGAATAAAATGCATATCTCATATATTAAAGAATAGTTCAGTGGTATTCAGGGTAGTGCCCTATAATCAAACACATCAACATTTTTGTAGCTAAATTAAGAATAATCACACTGAGCTCAATAACGCTTATAAGATGAACCCTAGTGGTGCAGTGGGTTAAGCATGGGTTGCTAACCACGTAGTGGGTGATTTGAACCCACCGAGTGCTCTGTGGGAGAGAGATGAGGTAGACAGCTTTGGAAATCCTATGCAGCATTTCTACTCTGCCCTAGAGGATCTCTGTGAGTTGGAATTGCCTCAGTGGCATTGGGTTGAGTTTGGTTTTATAAATAGAATTGTTGTTGTTGTTGTTGTTAAGTGCCGTAGAGTCAGTTCCGACCCATAGCGACCCTGTATAGGATTTCCGAGGAGCAGCTGGTGAGCTTGAACCACTGACCTTGCAGTTCAAACGGCTTTGCAGTCTGGCGCATTAACCCATAGTGCCACACCAGGACTCTGTGTAGGTTCAAATCAGGTTTTGGATTAAATTTATTGTTTCTTCAGAGGCTTTTTATTTTGGAATTATAGATAAGGATGTGAGTTTCTAATTCTCAGGTGTTGTGATGAATGAGTGCTGAAAACAACCTGTGATAAGTATATATACGATCTCAATTCAAAACAAAATATACATGGCCCAGGTGGTGGATTTTTGGTTTGACGGAAGAAAGTTCTTATAACAGACAACGTCCAGATATGGAATCTGCTGCTTTGGTGGAGCTGTGAACAGCCAGGGGATGAAGATACTGTAGGAGAGAGGCTTCCTGTGTTGGGAAAGTAAGAACATTTACTGCTTATGAACATTGGTTGCTTGTGATTTTCCTGTTCATGTACCAGAGGGAAGGGCAAAAAGTGGTGTGTGTGTGTTTGTGTGTCAGAGTTGTCACACATTTCTTTATAACATATTCCTTTGTAATAACATTGTAACAAACATCTTCCTGCATACAGCTTTGTTCACATCTCTGTTTTCTCAGGATAAATTTATTAAAGGGAAATCACTAGGAGAGGATTATGTACATTTTAGAGACTCGATAACACATCATGACTAGAATTTTGTCACAATTATTCATAAATATCATTGCCTGCTGGACTTTTTCAGTCTGAACTTCATGAGAAAAAAATTAGTCTTTAGAATGATTGACCCCACACGTGCCTCAGTTTGAGAGAAACTATAGATTTACTCCTCATTTACTTGGCTTCAATTCACTTCCAGAAATCTCTGAGAGCATTTGGATTATCTCTTTGTTGTTATTGTTTGCTGTTGAGTCAGTTCCAACTCACAACAATGCTGTATAGGGTTTCCAAGGAACAGATGATGTGTTAGAACTGCCGGCCTTGTGGTTAGCAGCCCAATGCTTAAACTCCAGTGCAACACTGGGGTTATCTCTTGCTAATGAGCATCTTGTCTGTTCAGTTCCATGCAACCCTGGAGATGGTGTCACCTATCTTCGCAGCTCTACAACCCCCTCTTCTGTGTGATACCATCATACTTGGGACGGCTCTTTGAGCTGAGGTGGCCGAATTGCTCCTGGCTTCCAGTCTCCCAGACAAACTCCAAGCCTGTGATGATGACAGTTTTCTCGGGGAGCCTGCAGGTTTCTCTACCCTGAGAACAGTGGCACCCTGCCTTCCGTTTGAGATTATACTCATTCTGTACTCCATGCAGGTGTGAAAGATCTCTTGTTGTGCAGAATCCTTTCCTGTCTGCAAGTCTTAGCTGAAAATGAATCCTCTGTTGAACACCACCACGATACTTTCTGTTTGCTATCTCAGTAATTTGTGACAGGAGCAGTGTGAAACACCCCTGTTTCATCAGTTTGCATGAACATCATGCGCTTCTAGTGATGTTGGCCAGGACAGGTGGGGGTGTTGATGAGAATTTTATTTATCTCTGGCTCAAGATGCAGAAAAGGGGAGACTGGCAAAAGTCCATAGTGACTTTGGGATTTAAGTAGGTGACATAATTACAAATATTTTTTGGGATAGCAGAGTTTTATAGTAGGACCTACGATCCCGGAAGCCACAGGTCCAGGGAGAGAAATTCTAGCTGTTTGTTGTTCAGACTTTCAGACACTAGGAGGTTAGTGATGATGACATATGAGACCAAGGGGATTGTCTAAATTTGGAATTTCTTAGACCAGTGTTCTGGTCAAATTGGGACCCTAGGGCACATTATCTAGATTCTCCAAAGATGGGGAATAAGCCTCTATTGCTGCTTCCCAAGGGATAGACTGATAACAGAATCTTGCTGCAGGAATAGAGCTGTGATTCTAGACAAGTACCCAATCATCTGCCTCAAGAGGTTGTGCCACCCTTCCCAGACACCCAAGCTCATGATCTGAAAAGAAGCATTTGTGTGGGAGCATAGGCAAACATGTTGAAAATGGGGGGAAGTGTTCTTTAAGTTAAACCTTGGGTGCTATTACCCCACACAAGTCCCTTGATTTTCTTAGTTCTCTGGCAATGGAATGCATAGTCTCTGCTCACTCCCAAGCAGGACACACGATTATATCACGGTCTACAGTTGTCAGTGGCGCGCATAGTAGGATTTCATTACAAATATCTGTTGAGTGATTATGATAGTATACGCAGGTATGGGTCAAAGATGGCATAAACCATACACCAGGTCGCAGACTCTCCTTAAAGTGACCTTCCTTCTACCTCTACTCCTGGACATCATTGTTGTCACTGTACCTTAGTTCTCTAGTGCTGCTTTGACAGAAATACCACCAATGGGTGGTTTTGTCAAAGAGAAATGAATTTTCTCAGTTCAGGAGACCATGAGTCTGAATTAAGGCTGTTGGCTTTATGGGAAAGTCTTTCTCTTTCTAGCAATCTTTATGTGGCTTGGCATCGCTCATCCTTCATCTCTCCTCACTTGTTAAATCTCTTATATTTTAAGATTGACTCAGGAATCCTGGCGTGGTGCTGTGGGTTAATGCGCTGGACTGCAAAATTGCCTTGAACCACAAGGTCGGTGGTTCAAGCTCACCAGCCGCTCAGGGTTGCTGTGGGTCGGAATCAACTCGGCAGCACTTACCAACAACGAGATACACCCTACAGTAATCCTGCTACGTTAACATAACAAAGACCACTCATTTCCAAATAGGATTTATAACCACAGTTATAGAAGTTAGGATTTAAAACATATTTTGTTGTTGTTGCTAAGTGTTAAGTGTCTTTAAGTTGATTCTGACTCATAGCGACCCTGTACAGGGTTTCTGAGGAGTGGCTGGTGAGTTTGTGGTTCAAACAGGCCTGTGGTCTAGTGCTTATCCTACAATGCCACACCAAAACATATTTTAGGGAGGCGCAGTTCGAACTCTAACACACTGTCCATTAGAACTGGCCTTTTCTGGCTGTGAAGGTTTCTAGGAGCCGGTCCCTGATTTGCTTGGTGCGGATTCCATAGATGAGGGGGTTGAGCGCAGGTGGCAGCAGCAAGTAGATATTAGAGAGAAGGATGTGGACGGGCTTTGGCACTGTGTGACGACCAAAGCGGTGTGTGAGGTAGGAGAAGAGACCAGGCACATAGAAGGCCAGAATGACGCAGATATGGGAACTACACGTACCAAAGGCCTTGGCCCGGGCCTCCCGGGTAGGCAGTCGCAGCACAGCATGGGCAATGAGCCCATAGGAACCAGTGATGCCCAGAATATCCAAACCTGACACGGCGAGCGAAAGGGCCAGCCCGTATAAGTTGTTTGCCCGTGTGTTTCCCACCACCAGTTCTACCACTGCCATATGTGCACAGTAGGCATGGCCTATAGTTTTAGCTCGAAAGTGCCCAAATCGTGCTACCAAAAGCGGGAAAGGTACAACAATAGCCACAGCTTTCAGTACCAGTGCCAGGGCTACATAGCCCACACGGGCTTTGGTGACTAGGATAGGATAATGCAGTGGACGCCCGACGGCCACAGCACGATCACAGGCCATGGCCAACAGTACACCAGATTCCATGGCAGTCAGCGCATGTACAAAGAACATCTGAACCAGGCAGGCAGCATATGGTACAGGCCGGGGCCCAAGGCAAAGCACAGTCAGCAGCCCTGGGGCTATAGATGTAGCTAAGCCCAGGTCTGTGGCTGCCAGTGTGGCCAGGAGTAGGAACATGGGCTGGTGCAGGCTAGTGTCTATCCGCACCACTGCCAGCAGTGCTCCATTGCCCAGAAGGGCCAGCAGATACATGGGCCCAAAGACCAGTGTCAGCCAGACCTGGGAACCCCCTAGTCCTGGAATGCCAGTCAATAGGAAGAAGGTTGGACGTAGGAAGGTGGAGTTGGATTGTGGAGATTCTGCCATTCTCATGGAAGTGGAGCATGACGTTTTGGGGCTTATGGGGGCATGACTCCTGACAGGGGAAGGACAAGGGGAGAGACCTTGAGGGTGTCACATGACACAAACCCATTCATAGAGTTGTACAGAGTAGCTCAGGACTAGGTTCACAAGGTCATGGCCTTTAGTTGGAGGTTTGGGATGAATAATCAAGGTCATAGCCTGGCTAGGATGGGTAATCCTTTGCACCTGAAAGTCCAGAGTTGTTGTAGGGAAAGAAATGGAGGGATAGTGATAATGAGGAAGGGGAATGGAGGTGACGGCTACAGTGACTCGTTGAGCTAGAGCCCACCAATTGGAGGTCAGGTGAGGGTGAAGCTGAGATGAACGCTTCTTAGGGTCTAAGTAGAGTTAGTCTCAGTCTCTGTAGAAGGGGAGGAAATCAGTGCTGGGTAGGGATCAGGTCTCAGCTGGTCATGTCCCTGACTTTGTGTGCTTGAGGAGGGTAATTTCCTGCTCTGGGCCTCAGCTTCCTCAGTTCTACAGTAGTATGGGACACACGATCTTAAGCTTTGCCCAACTCTACCATTCTGGGTATCAACTCTTCATGAAGGAAGAAGACAATAGAGAAGAAGGGAGAAGCAGAAGGGGAAGTATACGGGATCTGGAGTGAAGCTGGAAGCCTGGCCTGTCAGAAGAAAGTCTGGTGGGATTTTTGGGGTGCTCACATTTTTCTGAACTTGATGAAGTATTTCACTTGAACACCAGCTGGAGAGTTGCAGTTGAAGCTGGAAGGTGACAGTGAAAACGATGACAGTATGAAAAGGAACATCCCTTCTCTGTCTCTTCCTTCTTCATGAGCCAGAGGGAGTCCCTACTACAGTAGTTTCATTCCTGGGGTGCCAGCAGGAGCAGAGGTGACAGAGGGAGGAAATTAGAATCAAGAGTAACAGCCATATGCAGTATCTCTGATGTTGGAAGAGATTGAGGAAGTAGAACTGACTTCTCTCAAAATCGAGTTCACAGCAAGAATCTAGTAAATATTAACTGGATAAATGAATGAGCAAGAAAGGAGCAAGCTTGACTGGGGACAGCTTCTTTTAGACCAATGCCTGAGGGGCCCTTTATGTAGCTTCCTACCTGCTTTCCTCAGCGCTCTTACCCCTCCCATCTGCGCCACATTAACTCTTCCCTGTTCTGCCTATTTGCTCAGTGCTAATAGGCTCAGAAACTCAGGAAATAAAGAAGTCAGAGATGAGATGGGGTAGGCAAGGACACCATCTAGCGGGAGTGCAAAGATATAGGGAAAAGGGATACAGCCTCTGGAAGGTCTTTGCTGACTCCCTGAAGTCTGGGGGAGAAGACCTTGTTTTATTTTTTAATAGCAACTTTCCCACTCTGCTCTAATTATTGTGTGTCTCTCTCCCATCTAGACTGAATAGATTATAAGCATTGTTTCTTATTAACTACAATATTGTCACTGATCATCACAATGCCTGGCATGTAGATGGATATGAAAACACTATTTATTCTTTTTTATTGTTGGCCCAAACAGAGATTCTGCTGACTAGCAGGGACTCCCACAATTTCAAGAGTCTTAGGTATTCATGGAGATGAAACATAACTATTCGCCATCAACCAAATCTAAGTGTCTATAATGAGATATTTTAAAAATCCCCACACTATACAAAGTCACTCAATAAAAAACAATGAATTTATGGGGGAAATGGTGTTAGGAGTACTATACTAAAAATCTTCATCGGTACATCATTAGCCATTGTTGTTGTTAAGTGATGTTGAGTCAGTTCTGAGTCATAGTGACCCTGTACTGGGTTTCCGAGGAGCAGTTGGTGGGTTTGAACTGCCCATTTTAAGATTATCAGTCCAGTTCTTAACCTACAGCACCACGTAGGGAGATGTAAATAAAAATCAAAGTGAAAAACCAGTTCACCCCCATTAGGATTGCTAAGATAAAAACAAAACAAAATAAAAGAACAAAAATTGTCAAGTATATGGAGAAATTGACATAGTTATCCATTACTGGTGGAAATTCAAAATGATACAATCACTGTGGAAAACAGTTTGGTGGTTTCTCAAAATGTTAAACATAGAATTACCATGTTGTTATTGTTAAGTGCTGTCAAGTTGGTTATAAATCATAGCAACCCTTTATAAAGTTTCTGAGGAGCAGCTGGTGGGCTTGAATTGCTGACCTAGTGGCTAGAAGCCCAGTGCTAGCCTACTGCCATGTTTTTGTTGTTCTGAGGTGCCATTGAGTTGGTGCCAATAAATAGCAACCCTACACACAACAGAAGGAGCTCTGGTAGCGTAGTGGTTACGAATCGGGCTGCGAACCTTAAGGTCAGCGGTTCGAAACTACCAGCTGCTCCGCGGGAGAAAGATGAGGCTTTCTACTCCCGTAAAGATTTACACCCTCGGAAACCCTGTACAGGGTCGCTATGGGTCGGACCCGACTCGATGGCACTTAACAACAACAACAACACACAACAGAACAAGACATGGGCTACTCCTGCATCATCCTCACAATCATTGTTATGCTTGAGCCCATTGCTGCTGCCACTATGGCCAAGCCATCTTGTTGGGGGCCTTTCTCTTCTTCACTGATCCCCCACTTAACCAGCCATGATGTCCTTCTTCAGGGACTGGTCCCTCCTGATATTATGTCTGAAGTATGAGAAACGAAATCTCACCATCTTGGCTTCTAAGGAGCATTCTGGCTGTTATTTCTTCCAACAAATTTGTTCTTCTGGCAATCCATGGTACTTTCAGTATACCGCTCCAACATCATAACTCAAATGCATCAACTTTTCTATGGTCTTTCTTATTCAAATGTCCAAATTTTACATGAGGCATTTGAAATACTATAGCTTGGGTCAGGTGCACCTTAGTCCTCAAATTTACATCTTTTCTCTTGAACACTTTATAGAGGTCTTGTGCAGCAGATTTGTTTAATGCCATTTGTCACTTGATTTCTTGACTGCTGCTTCCATGAGTGTTGATTGTAGATTCAAGCAATGTGACATATTTGATGGCTTTAATCTTTTCTCCATTTGCCATGATGTTGTTTACTGATCCAGTGGTGAGGATTTTTGTTTTCTTTTCATTGAGGTGCAATTCATACAAAAGTATGTGGTCTTTGATCTTCATCAATATCTGGCGTGGTGCTGTAGGATCAGCACTGGACTGCGAACCACAAGGTCAGCAGTTCAAACCCAGCAACTGTTCCTTGGAAACCCCATACAGGGTCGCTATGATTCAGAACTGACTTGATGGCACTTAATAACAACAACAACATGCTTTCAGTAAGCATGATTGTAATATCTACATATCACAGTTTTTTTTAATGAGTCTCCCTTCAGCCCTGATGCCATCCTCTTCATATAATCAGCTTCTTGAATTATTTGTTCAGCATACAGATTGATTAAGTATGGCAAAAGAATACAATGCTGGGATCCTTCCTGATTTTAAACTGGTCAGTATCCTCTTGTTCTGTTCAGATGACTGACTCTTGGATTATGTACAGGTTTCTCATGAGTACAATCAAATGTTCTCAGATACCCATTCTGTCAATTTTATCCATAGCTTGTTATGATTCACACAGTCAAAAGATATTGCATAGCCAATGAGTTACAAGTAAATATCTTTTTGGTATTCTCTGCTTTCAGCCAAGATCCATCTAGCTTCAGCAATGATATCGCTAGTTCCACATCCTCCTCTGAATTTGGCTTGGGTATCTAGCAGTTTCTTGTAGGTGTAGTCTCACAGTTCTAAATTATCTTAAGCAAAATTTTACTTGCATGTAATATTGATAATATTATTTGATGATTTCTGCATTCCATTGTGTCACCACTTTTTGGAGTGGGTATAAATATGGATCTCTTCCAATTAGTTGGCCAGGTAACTGTCTTCCAAATTTCTTGGTATAGATGAGTGAACAACTCCACTGTTGCATCAGTTTGTTGAAAGATTTCGATTTGTATTCCATCTATTCCCAGAGTCTTGTTCTTTGTTAATGCCTTCAGTGCACCTTAAACTTCTTCCTTTAGTACCATTGGTTCTTGATCATATGCTAGCTCTTGAAATGGTTGAACATTGACCATTTTCTTTTTTTGCTACAGTGACTCTGTGTACTCCTTCCATCTTCTTTTGATGCTTCTGCATCATTCAGTATTTTGCCCATGGAATCCCTCAATATTTCAAATCAAGACTTGAATTCTTTCTTCAGTTCTTTTGTTGTGAGAAATGCTAAACATACTCTTCCCCTTTAGTTTTCTAACTCCAGGACTTTGCACATTTCATTCCACTATTTTTCTTTGTCTTCTCAAACTTTCCTTTGAAATTTTCTGTTCAGCTCTTTTACCTCTTCATTTCTTCCATTTGTTTTCACATCTATACACTGGAGAGCATGTTTCAGACTTTTTGCTGACATTCATTTGGGTGTTTTCTTTTTTTCTGGTCTTCTTAATGACCTTTTGCTTTCTTCCTGTATGATGTTTTTGGTGTCATCACACAGCACTTCTGATATTAGGGTGTCAGTGTCTAATACATCAAATTTGTTCTTGAGATGGTCTGTAAATTCAGGTGGAATATGTTCAAGGTCCTATTTTGGCTTTCATGGACTTGTTTTAATTTTCTTCAATTCAGCCTGAACTTACTCAGGAGCAGTTGATGGTCTGTTCCACAGTTAGTCCGTGGCCTTATTTTGGCTCATGATAAGAGTGTTTCTTCCCATTGATGTAATCATTTTGGTTCCTGTGTGTTCTATCTGTAAGATTCATGTGTATAATCATATTTTATGTCTTTTAAAAAAGGTATTTGCCATGAAGAAGTCATTGGTCTTATAAAATTCTATTATGTGATCTTCAGCATCATTTCTATCACTAAAGCCATTTTTTCCCAATTACTAATCCTTCCTCTTTGTTTCTAACTATTGCATTTCAATCACCAGTCATTGTGAATGCATCTTCTTCTTCTTCTTTTTTAATCAGCAGAAGTTTATTTAGTTTTTTTCAACTTCTTGTTGTGAATTGAGTGAAGGTTTACAGAGCAGGGCATCAGTTTACATTAAAAAAATCATGTTTTCTTC